CCGAAACAAGTTGTTTCTAACAAGAGAGAAAAACATTAGGAAAATATCCACAGCCCGTAACAATTAGTCGCGCATCCGCAGAAATTCTTTCGAATGTTACGTTTAGGATACACTCACCAGGATCTATATCGAAAATATTCCCGAGACTAGCCAGATCTTGCGTTCCCCCGTGTAAAGATCGTTTCTTCTCTTCTTATAATGCGATATACATCAGTCTTATAAACAATAAACTTTTGGAAACGTATTTTGGTAAATATACAATGATAATCATCGCACAAAGTGGTAACTGTACTTCACTAATATTTTTCCCACTTTAGCTTCACCTCCAGTTCATTTATAAAAAAATACAACGAATTCTAAACATCTCCTATATATCCGTTGCCTCAGGTCCGTTCGTTTTCTTTTTTTTTCTCGTTTTTCTTTCTTTCTTTCTTTTTTTTATTCCTTTCTAATATCTCGAGGGAGTATCGTTCCTTTAGCTTGTACCGTACTTGCTGCTCTCGAAGGTTCCCCGTCTGAAGAACGAACTGAATTCCAACAATGATTGCTTATCTATGTTGCTCAAGTTGCCGTTATATTTATAGAGAGGCTCGCAGTGCGGCAACTCCGAGCAGACCTGTATCAGACGTCGCAAATATTCTTCTAACCGTTTCCTACGTTGTCGCGCCACTACCTCGTACCTTGGGAAAACTTGTCGAGGCGGAAAGCGTATCGCTGCTACCTGTATGGACAATCGAGAAAGAAATTACTAAGTGTTTATTCTTAAGCCTTTGCACTACGATTGTTTCCCCAGTTTCTTCTCGGTCAACTCTGATTTCATTTCTCTAGGATTCGATGTTTCACGTTGGGTGCGAATGGTATGTTATTAACAATTAGGTGAGAAATGTTAATAACATTAGTAACGACAATAACAATATTAATGATCAAAAAATAGGTACAATTCAATGCTGAAACTGTTCTCCCACCGATTTGTTCGCTAACCGTACAAACTGTCACATCAGAAGTGACTCGAGAATGTCAGAGAAAAACACCGTTGTCACGCCGCAAGTGACAACAATGCAAAGGGTTAAGTTCTGAAACGGAGAGGAACAAAAAGCCGATTCACCTTGCTACCGTACTTCTGTCTCATCGAAATATACAGTTCCCTGAACCTTCTGTACCGTCGCAGGAGAGTCCAGCTATCATCCTGAGCCACGACACGTACCTCGTACTCGTAATGGCTGGACGTGCCAGCTCCCCGTATTACATAGGAGGGTATACTAACGATCATGTTGATCACGTTATCGCAGTCAGCGTCGTTCGCTATCAAAGACGGTAGAGATCTCGTGATTGTCAGGGAGTACGGGCTACTCAATCGATCGCCTCGGTTCTGACTCTGAAGAGGAGAACGATCAACAGAAATCTCAGTGGAAGCATTATTCAAGCAATTATCAAATAAATACCAGACCCGAGTTGATCGACGGAATCCGACAATTACCGTTAAGTAAACTGTAGAGTATCCTCTACCGGAGGATATCCTAGGCGCGACCGATTCCGACAAGACGTGCTCTTCGCTCGTGTTAGGCCTGTTGCACCGGAAGATCGGCGGCCGCGTGGTGGACATCGCCAACAAGGTAGCCGAACTGTTGCCGGACTCCGAGTCGCGACACGTTTTCGATTCTACGGTTTGCGCACGGTCGTCACTGGCTGCCAGTCTGTCCTCGCTGCACTGTAACTTGGGCTGCGCGTGACACTTCCGTTCGTCCTCCATCAGCGACACCTCCAGCTCGATCTGTTGCTTCTGGAGGTCCTGCAGAATCGCGATCTGCCGGTTCAAGTCCTCCTTGGAGGGTGTGTTCGCTTCCAAGCACCTCATCACCATCATTCGTTGACGAGCGATTCTTTGGTTCAGTCGTTTCATCGCTGGGTTCTGCTGCACCGGCGACTCCAGCGAGTCCTCGAGCACGTCCTCCTCCATCGTGGAGTTCGTCAGGGACTTGGACTCCGGCTTCTCGGCGCCGTTAGCGCTGCCGTTGCATTTCTCCGGCTCCGCGATACTTTCACCGGAAGACTTCCTATTTACACTCGAACTTTTACTACCTAACTCGGCCGCCGACTTGGCCCTGTCGTTCTCTAGATAAATCTCCTGGCCAGCTGTCTGATGCTTGTCCGGCTCTTTATCCTCGTTGCACAAAGTGTGAGACTTGTCCGGATCTTCGAAAGGAATGCGAGGCTCTGGCGAGTCGGCCGCGGCCGTGTGAAAAGTGTCCGCGGTCTCGACGGAACTTGGAATATTTTGTGGCAGTAAGCTCAAGGCGGACGCTATTTGAAGTTTCCTATTGCAGGCGTCTTGAAACGGCTCCCCGTTCGGGATGATCTCATCGCCGCTGGAGGAATGATCGTCCGGGGACGCTGGTAACGCGCGTTTCAAGTTTAACGAGAGACTCTGTTTCCGTTTCAGGATCTCCTGCAGCTGCTCCTGGGATCGTTTCGCGAGAAGCAATTTCTTCTCTGTACTCCCTTCTCCCTCCAACTGGCAAAATATATTCGTAATAAGTGACAGTGATACGCGGTTTATTTTGAAATTTAGAACATTCGATTCCAGCCGTCTGATCGTTAGCTTTCAATCGTTGATTTTAGGGATATTAGTAAGTAATTGTGAATCTATTTACTTGCAAGTTGAACATATGCTTTTGCTTCTTGGCAATCTCCATCAGCTCTTCCTCCATTTTATCTACTTTGCTTTGATGTTCGTTCAGTGACTTCACTTTGTTCTGTAGCTCAGTTTCCAAGGCAGCCAATTCTTTCTTCTGAAAAGTAATCGTTCGCTAAGTCGGTCTGATAGATCACATTGACATCTGATCGATTTTCTTAATCCTGGAAACACTGCTTAGAGTCTCTACGACCGTGGCACGGTTATTATATCGTTTTCGAACTTCCGGGAAACAAGTGTTCCCACCTCAACATTCCAATCTATTAATAAATCGTAACAGAGATGTAAACAACAGTTGTGGAATGATATTCTGAACGCATGAATGTTCGTTAACACGAAATCGAAGTCGGCCAAACCGGGAGGATATTAAACACGTCGGTAAATAGTCAACAAGGAAACACAGGATTAAACGTCGAGACGCGTAACATGGTTTGCCCAGTTGAAAATTAACGAATTGAGTGCTCCGCAGGTTTACTTACATGATGATTAACAAGCTCTCGCATCGCGTCAACGCATTTATCGTCGTTCAGACTCGACCAAGATTCTGGCAGGCTGCCGTCACTGCCAGCACCGTCGTCCGTCTGAAAATGGTAGATTTTGCTATCTGAACTAAGAAACTGTACGACGAGTCCCGTCACAGTAATCCCACATAATCCGAACGAAAGAAAAGAAAAAAAAAGAAACGAAACGGAAGAAAAGTAAAAACAAATAGAAAACGGTCACGATGCAGAATAGGATTTCGTGTTGCGTGCGATTACATGGTTCGTGCTTCCCTATAGTGATTACACGTGCTGCAAGTATTGAATTTCCTTTCTCTAAATCTTACCTTCTCCCACCACTGATGGAATCTTTGAGCGCGTTCGTGATTGCTCATGAACTCTTGGAACTGACGATGCTTGGACTGCAATGTCGTGCGCAGAGAGGCAACTTCCCTACATAAACTTCCTACCTGGTACCACACATATACATATCGATGCATTAACAAAAAAAGGTAAAACTGAAAAAAACATAGTTAAGATGCGGTCTCATACTTATACAGCGGACAACCGAACACGTAAACGCGAATGAACTGTGTGGACGGATGGTTAACGGAGTACACAGGGACCTGAGCATGAATCAAACTGAACCAACGTTAAAGACAAATGTTACGTCGGACGGTTTCTCTTTTATTCGTATGCCGAAAATATCATCTTCGTACAATAACAGAATCGATACTTTTATTCACGCTGTCTCGGTGGATCGAACGAAACGACTTTGAATTTCAAATCATTCAAAGCATGATCACTTCTGTATTATCTTAGGCGAACAATGCTCAGGTCTACGAGAAGCATGTAGCTTGGCATACAAAACTAAAGTGTAAAACTCAAAAGGGTTCCAATAAAAATAAAAGCATGCTGTTTTTTTTATACTATCTGTATATAATACGGGGGACTACGTGACGTGAATCAGACGTGTACTGAATTGTCGATAATTCTATCTACGGAAAATTCAATTAATAATAATGTGATTTGGAAACTTGGTGTGTGTGCTGTGTCTGTGTGTATGCGTGTGTGTGTGAAATCGTTTGTTTGTTTGATCGTGTGTCTGTGAAGGGAGGACATATAGAAAAAAGAAGGAGCTTTCGCGATACGTTACCTTGATCAATCGGTTAGTTAAGTTTCTCTAATCCCCACGTTAGCGCTCGAGACACAGTGCACGCGCGGACGTGCCCCAACGTATTTGTTAACAAAGACACAATTGGGTTTGTTAATCGGAAGTCGTTAATTCGACAGTCTCGATGGTTTGTTACTTAACGAGTACGTGAGAAAAAAAAACAGAAATAACAATAGTGTGCGTGCAAAAACGTAATCGTGGAAGATCGTAGGCCAATTTTCGTAAGAAAATTTTATTAATCA